TCTGAAAAGCATCGAGTCTGTACCTTGCAGTAGCAACCTATAGCAGCAGCTTGCACTTGCCACCCCTGCCCTAGCGGTAACAGCTAAGGCAGTGGCGGTTACGCCTGATGTGATCGAGCTCTGGTATAAAAGGACCCCTACCCTCACGAAGCAAAGGTATTGAAGCTAGCACTTTTAGCACTCTTAACTCTGTGCCTTTTTCAAGTTTTCCTCAGAATTCTAACTTAGCCATCGGAGTGTTCCCTCCGGGAGAGCTCCTCAGAAACCCTTCACCTTCTTCTTCCTCTCAGGTGCTGTCTATCACTGCTAGGAGCCAACTCTCAGCCAGTTAGGAGTGCCCAGATTGTGCTACATCGTTGATTTTATCTATTTGATGAAAATATTAAAATATAAAAAATGATTAAAAATAATATATAAAATATAAAAAATTAAATTATAAAAGAATTATCTATTATCAATTCTTTAGCTTTCCCTTAAGCATCGCACGGATCACCGCTAGTGAATGTTAAGTGACACAAGATGTAAGCCCAATTACTAGTCTAAGCTGTTAGTTGTTAATAAAATAAAATAAAAAGAATTACTAAAACTAAAATAATAAAATAATATTATAATCCAACTAATATTAAAAGACTCCTATCTATTCCGTCACGTCTCTTACAAATGTCTCCTATTATTATTAGTGCACGTCAGCGCGAGATGGACTCTTGTCTTTTGGTTTACGATCAAGCAAGGTGGGCTTAGTGTGTATGTGTATATTTACCTTTTTTTTTTACTTTTTAATTAAAATAAAAAACATTAAAAAAAGCAAGTAATAAAATCTACAGGATTTAATTGGAGTTCATTATCTTCATTTTGCTCTTTCTACGAAGTAGGTACTTAAAGCTTTCTTACGGTGGATGACAACCGAATGTCACATTGATCATAAGATGGCTTTAACATCCACCAAAAACAAAAGGGAAATACTTACTTCATAGAATAAGGAGCAAAAGTGAACTCGTCAATGTCATATTTTTGCCTCTCAATCCCTTCAAAATTTTTAAATTATCTTATATCTTCTTTGAGAATTAGGTGGGGATTTTTTTGTTTGGTAAATTAGAAACCCCTTCCGTGTGTGACTTTTTCCCTCACAATAGGGCACCATTCGTGCTGGCTAGCATGTCTTCAAAACCCTATGAATTCTCAAATAACCACATTTACTCTTACAATCTTTTTGATAAACAATTTCTCTCTCTCTCCCTCTGAATCCTCAGTCCTCACCACCCCAAGTGTTACATTCAATAAAAGGACAATAAAACAAATATATATACTGATGGAGGAGATAGAGTTCAATCTCCATATTTCCACTGCGTGCAGATATAACATGCATAGTGTATTGTTAGAAAAAAAAAATAATAAAAAGAATCCTTTGTAACAGAAACCCCTACAAAATTTTCCAATATTTTGTTGAACACCTCAGTAATTAACTAGAATGAGAAGGGTGGTTGCAGCTATTGTGTGTGAACTCTCAACGAGTACTGTTGACTTTGAGTAAACATGCCAAAAGGTAAAGGACATTTGGGATGACAACAGATTTAATAAAGAATCTTCCACCTGGACAAAAGAGAATGCCTAGCTTTCTCCTAGTGAAAAATGGAATGATTCAAACAAAACGTCAAAAACCACATCAAACAAACAAAGAGTTGAAGATTTTCACAAGGAAAGATCTAGGTCTAGTGCCTTTCTCATTCACAATCGAAAGAGTAGCATTCACTCGGTTTTGTTTAATATTATACATGGCGGCCTAGTATAATTAACGAGGTGGTTGTGTCATTGTGTGCCTTTAAAAAAAATTGCATGAATATATTTCAATATAGATTTAAGTATGTGGTTAACAAAGAACATCAATGTGATATCTCTCTCAAATAAGAATCATATCTAGAAATTACACTTGACACGTAGGCTTAATTTAATTGAGCAACCAATGTTTAATTTAATCTCTTCCCTAAATTTAGTCAAATATGCTTTATCTAATTTAAAGAACCACTAAAATCCAATCAAATTAAATTATATACCTTTGTATATATATATATATTGTGTATCTCTATGCAAAGACAAATTAGATTTGATGGTCTTTTCATACTTTTTCAAGAAAATTCATGCCACATTGCCACGTAACAGATTCCATTTAAATCAAAACCAAAACTACAACATGTGGACGTCATGCTTGACGTGAAAATTGAAATATCAATCTCTTACTTACTACCTTCAATCACTCCACAATCTTCTGTCCATACTTTTCCACATCTATCTATCGCTGTACAACTCTTGTGAAGCAATGAGACTGCATTCCATGCATTTTCTTACAAGAGTGGAATTTAGAAACTTGGACCAATTTCAATTCATTTTCTTTTTATATTGAAAAATAAGTTCATATAATTAATATATATATATATATATACCGAATAGCCTTCTTATCGAATTTGCCGCATAGATGGTTTGGCACAAATACGTAACATACACAATCAAATATGCGAAAGTAACTTACTGTCGGTCGACGATTCCATAACTTCTCATATGGTGAGAGAAACCAAGTGAGGCTTGCGGTAGTCGATTGATAACATTTGTTGTAGTCTTCGTCTTGGCACATTTTTACTATGCAACATGTTTCTGCATACTTCAGTTGAATGCCAATTCTTTCTCTTAACTACTCTGTTTTGTTGTAGAGTATTTAGACATGTTAATTGTCGTTATATCCTATGTTTTTTGAGATAATCTGAGAATTCTCYTGATGTGTATTCTCCTCCATTATTAGTACAGATGCACTTTATTTTATGCCCAACTTCTTTTTCGACCTTCTCTTTAAATTCTATAAACTTTGAAAATGCTTCAGATTTTTCTTTTAAGAAATACACCCATACGTACCTTGAGAAATCATCAATAAATGTTATCATATACCGCATCCCAGTGTTTCATTCTTGCTTCACTCATCCAAACACGCCAAAGTGAATGAATTCCAAAGGTTGTTTAGCTTGAAACTTTGATTCAGTATATGGTAATTGGTGTGCCTTACCATATTGACATCCAGCACATAGTGTGTCGGTCCATACTTCCAATTGAGGGAGGCCTTTCAACATTGACTTTGCCATCATTACTTTGAGCCTGYTATATYCAACATGGCCAAGTCTTGCATGCCAAAGATCGGCAGTTTCATTACGTCGAGTCTTTTCTACATAAGTTGATTCAACAGACGTTACATAGATAGACTCTAATTTTCGTCCTTCCATAAGTGGTGGTTCCGGTGTATGTATTCTCCCATATACTTTAACATCATTTGGAACACTACATAATTAACAGATGCAGTTAATTGAGATATTGATAATAAATTCTTTTTCATACCGAGCACATGTTAGACACTTCGAAACTGTGCTTCTTCCTTGTTGAATCGCGGGATGCATAATGCTTAACCAATATGGGTGATTGGAAGTCTTGCATTGTTAGTTGTAACAACAACTAGCTTGCCTTTATATTTGACATAAATTGAAACTTCTGTTTATCTCCTATCATATGATTTGAGCATCCAGAATCAACGATCTAGTCTCGGCTATAGTCAACTACTCTAGGATTTGGCTGTAGTCAACTACTCTAAGATTTGGTGCCAATACCGTTGCCTTTATATTTTGACATAAATTGGAACTTCTATTTATCTACTGTCATATGATTTAAGCATCCAGAATCAACGATCTAGTCTCGACTATAGTCAATTACTCCAGGATTTGGTGCCGATACCGTTGAATAATCTTCAACAGAGCAACCATGCTCATTTGGCTCTATAATACAACAAGAGGCTTCGGTTTCCCATTCTTCTACACTTCCTTTGTCTCCGTGTTGATTGGCTGACGTTACTGTATTTCCTTCAGCTGGCTTTCTTTTGTTATACCAGCACTCACGTGCATAATGGCCTTTCTTGGAATAGTTGTAACATATTACATTGCGTCGATTACTTTTAGATTGCTAAGAAGCTCCCCTTTGTTGATAACTTTCCTTCTACTGATAAAACTTAGTCGGCTTCTACTGCTTAGGTCTTTTGCTTGGCCCCTTCTTCCGAGTGAGAAGTGCTTCTTCTGTTTCTTTAATTGAGACACTAGCCATCTGCTTATTTAGTGTCTCTTGGTTGGTCAACATATTTTCTAATTCAACAAGCAATGGTTGTGTTGACCAGCCTCAAATAGCCATCATAAACCCATTATACTCGAGTCTCAGCCCTTGTATAATTATTCGTCTCACTCGGGTTTCACTGATTGCAGACTCTTTATCTAATAGAGAGATTTCATCACAGAGGCTCTTTACCTTCGTAAATTACTAGTTGATTGTCATCGATCGTTGACTGATCGATGAAAACTCATTTTCCAACATCTAAAGCCGAGCTTCATTTGTTTTGGAAAAAAATTTAGATAAAATATCACAGGCTTCACTTGGAGTCTGGGCCTTTTTTATATGCTCTAAAAATTCATTCTCAACAGTAATTTTAATAGCGTAAAGAGCCTTACTTGCCTTGATTTTCCACTTCTTTTTAGCATTCTCGTCAATGGAATTATTAGTTTCACCTCCGATTGTTACTTCCAACAAATCTTCTCCTTGTAAATACGACTCCATGCACGTGTGCCAACTATCATAGTTATAGTGGTTTAGTTTCTCCATTCCCGCAAGTATGCTAGCTAAACCTGCCATTATGATTGGTGAAATCCTTCTCTGCTACCTTTCACCAAGAAGCTTAGTCCCAGACTAATCAGCTTCACAACGCCACGTTGCTCACAATGGACGGCTCTAATTCGTATGAGTAACAGCTAGATCTTCGTTACTCAAATATTAATCTGGTAGAATGACAACTTTGGTTAACCTGCTCTAATACAAAATGTAAAAACCCAACAAACAAATGGAACCACACAAAAAACAACAACCAAAAGCAAATACACTATAATCGAAAATAACTATGCATATTACTAATGCAAAGCATACAAGAATACATATATATACAATGTATCATACATGTGCACTATTTTAACTTTGAAATTATACTCACTCGGAGGCAATACACCAAAAGACTCCTCCACACCACTCTTACCATTTAATTTGGGAATTTTTTTTACTGCATGTTTAAAAGGGGGTGAGCCCCTATTTATACATGAATTAACCACCTTACAGAGGCGGTTTAACAAAAAAAATTTGGTTTTTAATTGATTCACGTGGGTCCCTTGAAAACCAAAATTTTAAGTCGGGTTTGTAATGGACTAAAGAAGTCGGTGCTGACTTCTTCCATGGTGGTAAAGATTAGGCCGAGAATTAGCTGTATCTGACTTTACACTCCAAATCCTTTGCATTCCTCCTTGTTCTTGTGCTGTGGTTGGTTTGAAAGTGACTGTGGTATAATGCGTGAAAGTATGATTTTATTCTGAGACAAATAATCAAAACTTTTACATTTGACAGAAAGCCTTCTGCTATCGTCCTTCCATGGTTATTGTTATCTGCTGATTATTAGAACTTGTTTGTCGTCTACTAGAAGAAGACGAAGTTGAACTAGACAGGACTCTCTTCACAATGAAAGCTGGTTGTTTAGGAATTGCAAGTGTTGCTGTTTCTCTGCCTAGCATGAAAACAACATTTGACATAGTTGGTCGGTCATCTGCTTCTTCTTGTACACAGAGGAGCCCAACATTGATGCACTTCATAACTTCGCATGTATTGCATGATTCACGTAATGACCTGTCCATCAAATCCAACGCCTTGTCTTCCTGCCACAACTTCCATGCCTGACAAAAATTTCAACCAAACTAACATGAGAGAGAGAGAGAGAGAGATAGAGAGAGGATTTTGATAAATTTCTCTCACTTACATATCCAAGCAGGCTCAATGACTTATCTGTCTGATAAAACCCCGTGTTCTTCTTCCCACTGATAATTTCAAGTAAAACGACTCCAAAGCTGAAGACATCAGATTTAATGGAGAAAAAACCATCCAAGGCGTACTCTGGAGACATATATCCACTGCATTCCATCCCCAGAAGTGGTTAATGAGCTAGATGTGGAGGATCGTCTAGCTTTTATCAATGGATTTATTAGAGGAAGCAAAAGTAGATTGTGTTTCAACACCCAAAAAATCCTAGTTTACTTTGACAGTATGAATAAAGTAAGTTGTCAGCACTTACTATGTTCCCACTACTCTGTTGGTGTTAGCTTCAATCTGATTTCCTCCAAAAATCCTTGCCAATCCAAAATCTGATATTTTGGGGTTCATCTCCTCATCTAAAAGAATATTACTAGTCTTCAGATCCCTGTGAATTATTCGCAACCTAGAATCTTGATGAAGATAAAGGAGTCCGCGAGCAATTCCCAGTATGATGTTGAAGCGTCTTTGCCAGTTCAATAGTAACCGGCGTGTTCGATCTAAGCATTAATTCCAATATCATTGTTAATGTAGCACAATATGATTTAAACTCCATACTGCTTTAAGCTGTAAAAGGCAAGAATTCTTTAGGTTATAGGCCTCACCGAAGATGAAGGAATCCAAGCTTTTGTTTGGCATGTATTCATAGAGTAGCATTTTTTCATCTCCTTTGACAGAATAACCCAAAAGTCTGACAAGATTCCTGTGTTGAAGTTTGGCAATCAATAAAACCTCATTTTTGAATTCCTCTAGCCCTTGTCCAGAATTCTTGGAAAGCCTCTTTACTGCTATTTCTTGACCTCCTGGTAATTGACCCTGTTACCACACATTCATGTTCTTCTTGTCAATTATGAGGTTGGAAGCCAATTTCATTCTATGAGTTAACTTGAAGCAGAGGAACATTACCTTGTAGACAAGCCCAAAGCCCCCTTCTCCAAGCTTATTTGAATCAGAGAAGTTCTCAGTAGAAGCAGCTATTCTTTTATAATGAAAAAATGGTACATCTATGCCTCTCTTCTCATCTTTTCCGAACTTGTCTGGATTTATTATGTCTGTAGGATGTTGGCCTAATGCAGCTAATTGAAAGGCAGAGTTTTCCCTTTCCCGGTGACCTGATTGGGAAAATATTTCTTAAAACATGTAGTTATGAATGGTAAAATTCTAGTATAGTTCTATCAATTTCCATGAAATTTACTTTACTAGACACCTTTTGTTTTTGCCATCCTTCTTAGACAACAAATAAAAATAACGGTGCAAGACAAAACAACCCCAGCTGCAATTGATATAAAGACTGTCAAATAACGCCGTTTCGCAGATGAAGCGGAATGATCTGGTTCCTTGGGTGTTGCAACACCTGCAAGAAAAGAGAACAGAGATTCATCAACTTTGGCGGTTTGGAAATGAAAACAGAGAGATGGCTTCACCTAGAAGGTTTACAATATTGGACCAGGCATGACAAATCTTAATATATGACAGTGTATCCTTACCAGGACTAATGCAACTCATAGTTAATGGATCCCAATGAAAGTTGGGATTACAAAAGCATCTTCTTTTTCGGTCTCTGGTAGCTGTCTCCCTCAACCTACATTTTGAACTTGGCCAGTCTTTGCAGTCTGAGTCTGAGTGACATGGTGGTTCTGCTGGTGGTTTCCACCCAATCTCCATTCCCTCAACCCAACTACTCACAGGTGAAGAAATATAAGAATTGACAATACCTGTGTAGTCACTGCATTCATTGCTTAAAACACTAAGGCCATTCAAATTAGAAGACAAATTTCCACTTGTGTAGCTACAGCATCTCTCTGAATTAAGACAACTTGGTGTTTCCTTCATAAATCTATAGCAGGGGTTGGAGGAGGTGCAATTGAATGACGGTGGTACTACATGACCGGAGCAATTTAAGAAGAGTAAAGTATTGCTATTGGTCAGGTAAAATGTATTAGGGAAGCGTAGATCTTTGTCGAAAGATCTCTGGGATCCACAGAGCGTTTCATGTGGTTGGATCAAGAATGTTCGCGTCTCCGGATTTATTGCAGCAACTGCATAGGAAGTAGTCTTGGTTGCATTGAAGAAAAGTTGGTTTGTGGAATTATTGCAGTAGAAACTGAAGTAGGCAGGATCACCACAGTTAGTTCCTGTGCTTAGAGGATAGGGGATCAAGCTGCTGCCACAAGGTTCGCACTCTTTTCCGGGAAGCTCTGCAAACATGGAACTGTTGATGTTAAAAGTACTGGGAGATTTCTTCTCTGGTTTGTATAGAACTATTCTGAACAGCGAATGAATTCCATAGTATCTGGCGGATTATGGTGGCTATTTAATTATATCCTATGAAACCATGTTATTTATAACAAAAATCAACTTGTAGAATTGGTTGTAGGCGTAAACATTTTACCTCATCGTATTTCCCCCTGTTGTCCGTTTAATGTTCCACTTTGGGTTTCATTTTGGGTTTCATTCTTTTATTTCTTGCTCAGTTTGGACAAAAATGAATAACATTAAGGTGTTTGGTTTTAAAATTCTTGCAATAGGTCCTATTCTTTTTAGAATGAAAAATCAGCCCATAGCATAAAAATTGATGTAGCCTGCAATATGAAAAATAATCATGTCTCATCTTTCTCATTTTCATTTTTTGAGGAAACTCTATCAACAAAACTGTTGTCATAGATGTTTACTAGAGGATTATACTGTTGGCCATTCACAAGTAAAACTGTGTTGTTAATGAATACCAATACAGTTTTTTCCGAAGAATAAAAGTGAGTAATACATGACACTTGTAAGGCCGAAAAGAATTCATTTATAGGAAAAAAATATTTTTTTCATAATAATATTTTCTCATTGTGCCTATTTTTACCCATTCTTATCTATTCTAAAATTTGTTCTTAGATAAAAATGAAAAAAATAAGAATTGAATCAAATATAACCTAAAATTGTATTTTCTTCTCCCGAATTTTAGTTTCATTGAAATTGGCACCAGCTGCTGCGACTTTTAATAGTGCTAGCAATAGGTCGGGTTTGGTCCGGATCAGGGCAAAATTCGGTTGTCGTATGTTACATTGTATTCAAAATCTCCCAGAAGCCCACCCAGAGCTGAGCCCTGGCTCGGCCCATGTTCATCCCTAATTGCATACTTGCAGTTGATACAAGCTCATTTTGTTAGGGTAAAAGCTGTTGAATATTAGTCGGGTCAAGTAAGTTCAAGTTTTTACTTTGGACCAACTTTTATCAAATTGTAATCCATTAACATCTCTTGTTCCCCAACTCCAGCATTTTGATTAGCTTTAGCTCCCCAGTCCCCACTTAGTTCATTTTCACGTCTTCCATGGGGGTCTTCACGGTACGTAACTAGACCTTTTGTCAGTCCCAACATAGTGTGTTGTTATTGCGTGTCTCTTTGTGGCAACTTGGAACTTGGAAGGAAGCTCATTGAAAGAGCGAAAGTAAACTCTGGAGCATGGTGCTTGAAAGCCAGAAAGAGACACGCCCCCAGTATGTATTATTGTAAGCTTATTTCAATGTCAATTAGCTTTAAAAGATTACATAGTCATTTTTCATTTTTCAATTTTTAAGTATTTTTTAACATTTTTTTTAAGCAAGTCAAACAGTTGAATTGGATGGTCGAACCACATGACTTGTGACCCAATCACCTAGATGGTTCTCTATTTGGTTCGGGTATGATATATTATATTCACCAATAATACTAAATGCGAAAAAGTAAAATCTAAGTTTATACCATGATCCCAATAGCAACTACATTTATAATATAAGGGTATTTTTGGATTTATAAAAATTCTGAAAACCATGTGATGGCAATTGGTTAATTCATATAATTAATATCTGATATCATTACCAAAAAAAATATAAAAAAAAATCGGATTAAGGAAATTTGAGATAAAGAAATATATATGATACAGAAAATTTCTCTTTCAGAAAAAAAAGGGGTAATTTCATCCAAATTTAGAAATTAGAAACTGACAAACTGTAATGAACAAATAAGAGAAAAACAGAAAGATGAGTTTTATGATTTTTCATAAAAAGTCTCCCTCAACTTTCTATTTCTATTTTCTACCTTATTTTCTGTGATTCTATCAAACTAAAAGCAGCCTAAGCGTAATTTAAATATTTTTTCCTTCTTTGAGCGGATGACAATTTGGTTCTCTGTTGGACAGCCTGGGCTACCCGCTGTTCCCATGGAGCCAAAAAAATTTTTTATGTTAACAACCATCGATGGATAACATATTGACACGTCGTCCTTGATATTATATCAACTTTTAAGATTCTCCTAGCAAGGGAGACGTGGCTCTGTTATCCACCGTTGGAGTAAGTCTCTAAAACATGAAATGAAATGAATGGTACCTAAATCGGAAGAAGACACGAGGATGTGAAGCTTCCGTCTGCTATCGCCGGAATAATCTACCTGAAGGTCCTTTATATTCTCATCCTCACTCCATATCCAACACGAACTAGCTTTGCCTTTGATATCGGGGCGCAGGGGAGGCTCAAAGAAGTAAGCGTTGCAGCACTTATCACGGCACTCTTGCTTACAGTCCATCTCATTCTTAGCATCTGCATACGACGACTCTGGTCCTTTAACTTTTACAATGTTCAAATTGATGAAGACATTCCCGCATCCTTCTGTTTTCCTCTTGCACCCGCCTGAATACTTGCCGGAACCCCATTCCTCCGGCTTTTGGGGTTCGAACCCAGGCAAACACGTACAGGTCGGCTTATTTTCGTTGTTGCAGACACCAAACGCACCACAAGCTTTGTAAACACTGCATTTATCGTTCGGTTCCGACCATACTAAATTCCAGACGTCGTCTTTTAGAGTAAGATACTTGATTTGACCTGATGGGTCAATCACCAGTCTCGTTGTGTAATCGGGTTTCGTGGAGTCATTGTTGATATTTCTGTACCAACTTTTTGTGTTATTAGTGGATCTGTTAGCAGTGGAACTGAAATTGGATAGCAAACTGACAACCAAGATGGGAACGGGGGGGGCATTAAAATATCCGCCGCTTTTCCAGTAGATGGTTGATTCATTGGTGATACTGAGCTGGTAGAACGTTGAACCATCGCGCTGAAAACTGAAACTTCCAGGAGTCGGATCGCTCTCGTCGCTCCATGCTCTTAGAATTCGTCCCCCTTCAAGCGTCATTCCCGGAAGAAACGTATCGGAGGGGTGATCAACATCATCGACGAAGCTCTGCCATATTGGGTCGAGACTTCCGTTCTGCCCACCATCAACCCCTCCTGTCAAGATGAGATTGCCAGAATCCAAGAGCGTAGCAGTCGTGTTAACCAACGTAGTTGAACCCTTCATCGTTGGGGACCAAAGAATGTATCCTCCGGGTTTATCTCGTAGCCTGAGCTCTCCGTCCTCGATGGTAAAAACTCCAGTTCTATTTGGAATTGCGCGGTTTCTGTTGGCGATCCATACAAATGTTTGAGGCGACACATCATGGTACCAAATACCCAGGTACCGCTTGTTGGTAGAGTTTCCAGGAGTGAAGAACCCCATTTCGAATCTGCCTCCGGCAGAAACAAGAGTTTCTCCTTGTTGTCCGTCGAGGATGGGTTGATCAGCAGTTATGGTATCTCTTGCTGCGCAAAATAATGGGGAAGAGCAGGATAAGACGAAGAAGAAAAAGAAGATGGGACTAGCACTACCAGTAAGAGTCCTGCGGATGTAATTCATCATGTTGGCTGCTGCTTCTTCCATTCATCATAAATTAATATCTCAAAACAGAAAAAGAAGAGAAGAATCCTGGTAGACTGGTAGTAAAGTGGAAATAACGTCTCTCATAGCTCCAGCTGCTCCTTGCTCTTTCATGCTCCACACTTGTAGTAATGTGGCTTGGTGCTCGGTGGGTCTGGTGGATTTGGATTCAAGTCACTTCACAGTTCAAACTTGGCAGCTGTGAAGGTAATTTGCGGTCCATATCGACACGCGATTGACTCAGTCTAGTCAATGAGCTCATTATTCCGAAATTACCCTTTGGCAAAAATTCCAGCTGGCTTGTTGACCCTTTCAGAACGGTGGTTGGGTTACGGCCTTACGGGTTCTAGCCACCGACGGACCAGGACTGGACCCCATTGTCATCTTGTCTTGATGGTTAAAACCTTAGACGTTGGGATTTTTATGATGTAGTAAAGGGGCTGTGCCGTGCTGATGGCGAATTGGACGTCCATGGTGGAAGACTAGCAGTACTGGAATCCACCCAGCCACATAGCCAACAGAGTTGTATATGTGGATTCTCACCACATGAGTCATGACATGTTTTATACTTTATCTATTGATTGTTGACATTTATGGACTGTAGTTATTAACAACCTCAAATCCTCTCCTCTCCAATTATATAATGTTGCATTTATTTATTGAGATAAGAACTGAGTATACATATATAAAATACAGCAACAGCTGAAAAAGAAAGAACTAAAAACAAGGGGTATATATATATTACTACAATCTTCACACTACAACAACGAGAAGAAAATAACAAGTGTAATTTGTTGGGTGGGGGACCTGTTTACTTACTGGTAGGGGCTGATTATTTAAATTTAATTATAACCAAGTGCCCTGCATTATGTTTGCTTTATCTCACCTACTCACAAAAAGTCAAAACTCAAAAGCGTCCACAATCTCTCACAAGTACTCAGGAGCAAGCAAATTAGACGAGCAAAATTTTTGAGAAAATTTCTATACCCCGTATTTTAGGTCTATTGTCAAGTTGGTTCTTGAATTTTAAAATGCAATAATTCATTACTTAAATTTTTAAAACATGTTAATTCAATATTTATTGTGGTTATATTTTAGTGGATATTTTGATGATTTCAACTTTATTGATTAGAAGAGACAAAGATTTAGAACTATTCAATTTTTAACAATGTTTAAATAGTTGATAAAGAAAATTAGATGATATTCAAAAGATATTTACGTCTTTTCAAATATCATTTAATGACTGATTAGTGACAGATACTAAATTAACAAATTTTGAAAATTCAGGATTATCACATTTTAAAGTTTAGAAACCAAAATACCACTATGCTCAAAGTACAAGTTACTAATAGAGAAATTTTCCTATAATTTTTTTAAATAGAAAAGAAATTTTATTTTACTTAATAAATATGGATTTTGACATACCCAATTACCAAACGGGAGTCTTGAGTGTGGAGGTGGATTCGTTGAGGGAAGTTATCCCCCACTTGACCCGACGGGGAAGACCGCTATGTAGTCTCACGGGACAAACGGCAATTGGAGTAAGAGGGCGAGATGGGGTCAACTGTTAAGGTCGTCGTCCTAGATTGTTTTGTCTATACTTTTCCAAAGCCCCGTGGCCCGTGGGCAGCCATCGCTCTCACCACTTACGATCGAGAATCTTTTTTATTATTTATTTTTCGAAGAAAAATTTCCTGCAATATCATCTTTACAACTATTCCCACCCATGCAACGGTGGTGTGGTTCTGTCGCCTCACCCAAAATAAAAAACAAAAAAGAGAATCATAATAAAAAGAAAAATCAACGCCATGCAATTAACAAGTATCTATCAATACAATAGTGATGCTGCTAAATTTGATGTAGTGTACAAACCGAGGACGGCAATCAGATAGTCTTTGCGCGCTAGGCGGGGGTCGAGCTTCAAGGAAGAGGCTGTGCTTCAAGATCTGCGATCAAGGAAAAAGTCAAAGGCCCGAGAAATTTCCCTCGAGTAAGTATTCCGACGCTCAAGTCAGTAGGAAGTGGTGGATGGTCGGGCCGAGTTATAGGGATGTTGGTCCAGGCTAATTAGCAATGTGGGTGTTAGAAGTCAAAAGTCTCTTACCTCGAGCATGGAGTACCGATTTATAGCCAGAGGGACCGTATCCTGATTGGAGTAGATTTCCATAGAAATCGGGGCAGAGTTCCCCACTGAGGTTGCAGGGGGTAGAGTCCTACTCCTTGGCGGAGTTGTCTTCCCATCTCTATCCATTGGGCGGGCTTATCCGCGGGGCATAGCTGACGTGGTTGGTGGGATCATGGCAATGCCATAGCTCGACCGAACTGTGCCGATGTGGCCAACCTGTGATAGATGGCCAGGGGCCTAATGGCCAGCTCAGCCATGTCCCAACACCACTCCCCCAATTCTGAAGTCGAGGAACGAAGTTTCCTAGGTTCTTTGCCCACCTGAGGAACTTCCGAGCATGCGTATCGTCCGCGCTGTGTTGGTCATTGCCGAGGAGTCCTCTGATCGTCGGCTATAGAACTAGAACCGAAGTTTTGGTTCCTAAACCACTCCCATGGTTCTGCTGCTGAGGAGGATGAGTGCTCGGACAAACTACTGCGCGGCCTTGCGGCCATAAGCTGCCTAGTCCGAGGATTTGAGCGGCCTAGCCGAGGATTTGAGTGGCCTAGCCGAGGTTCCGTGTCAAAGGCTGGACCGGTATAGTAGTTGAACCGGCGCAATTAATGGGCGCAACCGCTGCCTGCCGAGCGTGCCATTTTGGTTTCCGAGGCTTCCTGTCGTATGTAATTGGTCACATCGGTTGGCCTTCGAGGCGTTGTCAGCGGTGCTTTATCTACACTATTGATCTCTCCTCGGTCTGTGCCCCTAATAGTTATAAAAGGGAAGAGGGGCCCCCCTCTCCCTATCCTCAGTATTGCTTGCAAGAGAATTTGGCATCCACTCCTCGGTAGATTCATCGGTCACACAGTTCAGCAGATAGCTCGGTAGCGTTCGTTCTTCAGCTCCACAAATTGTCTTGTATGTCCTCTTCATCTTGTCGGTCCTCTTCCTCATTCGGGTCCTCTAGTAGTTCTGGTTCTAGCTCTTCTCGCGGCTCGACCTACAAGCTTGAACTGAGAGACTTCGTGGCTGCCGAAATTGAGGAAGCTGAGGCTGGTCCCTCTGGGATGGAGATGGAGCTTCCTCTCCGGGCAGGTCGTCAGTTCGGTACCATGCCCAACGTCTTGACGACTAGGGATATGGCTCGGATCTGAGCTACATACGCCATTCCCACGGAATACCAAATGAGGTGTCCGCTTGTTACACAGTTTTGTATGCCCTTAGCCTCAATCAGAATGATGTACTTTATGAGTTTATTGTAAATGAATAAAGATACATATTTGATTCATGTTCCCTTGGTATGTTT